GGACTTTTGAGGAATAATGAATGCCACAGGGGGTTACCATATCCTCCCCAAAATGTTGCTTGGTGTCCCCACCTGGGATAGGACAGTGGTTTGGAAAAAGGATTTGCTGTTATTAGTATTTTTTCTTTTTTTTCTTTAAACGTTCCTTTTGTACTTTTTAGTGCATCGTTTGGTTTTAGAATTTGAAGCAGGAAGACATCTTAAAGATCATCTAATCCAATCCTCTCATTTTAAAGAAGAGGAAGTGACAGGTTTAGCATTAGGTTTTGACCTGGTAAGAGAGAAAGGACATGGATGCAGGTCTTCTGCTTTTTCCAATATAATGCTTCTTTTTAAGATGTTAGAAAACATAAAAAATATATTCTCACAATATTGGAATTGACTGTCCCACACTCCACCTACCACCTTTTAGCTTTGGCTTCAACTGGGGTCAAGGTTGAGGTTGGGAAATTTGAATGGGTCTTAAAAAATGAAGAAGGACTTGAGGGTTTTTTCCCTTAAAAAAGAAGCCTCAGCCTTCAGGAAGGAGAGTTCTAAAAGTACTAAATCCAGGGAAGTTGTTAATATAAGTAACATTTAGCAGGGTTTATTTAATCCAGGATGAGAAGTCAAGGTTTCTACACTCATCTCTGACACTTCATAGCCTTGTAACCAACCATGAGAAGGTCACTTATTCTTTCTGAGACTAAGTTTCTTCATTTGTAAAATGGGAAGAGTAAAACTTGTAGTATAGTACTTCACAGGATTTTTGTGAGACTCAAATGAGCTAACACCTATAGATGCAAATCTTAGAATATATACATGCCAGCTATTATTATTATTATTATTATATTAATCTTGTTCTTTATATATTTTTTGATGGAGTTTGGATAGAAATGGTCCTGGGATAAGTTGCTGTCCTGATACTGTTCTTTGTGTTTAATGTTCTGTAGACTATTGGATAGGTGAATAAAATATCTTCTTGATATAGTTGAATAATGCAAGGTCATCTTCCATAGACTTATTGAAAGCCTCCTCAGTATAACTACAATAGTAAACAAAATGATGGGGAATGATTTGTAGCTCATCTTGTTCCACGTGTTTGATTTTTTTTTTCGCTATGTCTCTATATTTTGAAAGCTTTTTATTCCACACAACTTGGAGACTATGACTATTTGGTATGCCAACATCTGTTAAGAATGTTGTTAAGAATGTAGGCAAAGGCTAATGGATTCCTTGAGCTCAGGAGTTCTGAGCTTTAATAGAGTTGAACCCTATTAAAGTGTCCCCACTCAATCTGGCACCAAGAGAAGGGATTAAATGGCCCAGGTCGAAAGCAAAGCAGGTCAAAGCTCCTGGGCTGATCAGTAATGGGGTTGGAACTGTAAGTGGCCCCTGCATATCCAGCCTGGGTGAAATAGGAAGACCCAGCCTCCAAAGAAAATGAAATAAAAGAAAACTTTTTTTTTTTACATTTTCAAGGACTGATATTACATCTGGATGATTACAGCTAAGAGTTTGAACTAGGATAATTCTCTGGTTCCAGCACAGTTTTCTAATTGAGATCTCTAGGATATCTTGAGGTCTGTATTTGTACCATGAAGATTTGTCATTTGTTCATGAAAGATTGCAAGTTTCTGATGCATAAGTCTGGCCAATAGGTGATGTCTTCTGAGGTGTTTTTGGTAGGTGATTAATTTTTACAGACTACAGTGATTTGTTGTATAGAGTCTTCGTTATTTTTGTTGCATACTCTGCATTTATCATTAAGTCTAGGCTCTATGGTGTTTTCCTGTTCCTGAATTGCTATCATGTTGTTGTTGTTTAATCGTTTCAGTAGCGTCTGACTCTTTGTGACCCCATTGGGGGTTTTCTTGGCAAAGATAATGGAGTGATTTGCTGTTTCCTTCTCTAGCTCATTTTACTGATGAGGAAAACTGAGGCAAACTGGGTTAAGTGACTTACCCAGGGTCACACAGCTAGTAAGTGTCTGAGGCCAGATTTGAACTCAGGAAAATGAGTCTGCCTGTGTCTGGTCCCAGCACTTTATGCACTGTCCCCTCTAGCTGCCCAAATTGCCATCATAAACTTTTCCATTTCTATGAACAAATCCATGTGGCATAGCCATTTGTTTGATGTTTCCTTGTGGACAAATTGTTGGCTGAATTCATATAGATGTCAGTCTTGGACAGCCTTTGAATTCCACCCTCAAACATAGAAGAAATACATTGATAAGCTGAAGAGTACCCAGAGGAGGGCACCCAGTATGGTGAAGGGCCTTCAGTTCATCTCATATGAGCACTGGTTGAAAGAGATGGGCATATTGAGTCTGGGGGAGAGAAGACTTTGGGAACAACATGATAGCTATCTTCAAGTATTTGAAAGGCTGTCTTGTGGGGGAGGGATTTGACATATTCTATTTTACCCTAGGGGACAAAACCAGGAGCAATGGATGGAAGTTGCTAAAGGGCCAACTTAGAATTGATGTCAGGAAAAACTTGTGAGTAATGAGAACTGTTCAAGAGTGGAGTAGGTGACCTTGGTTGGAGGTGCGGGGTGGGGTCTTCAGGTAGAGGCTGGGCAAACACTCATGTACATTATAGTGGTTATTCCTTTAATATATTGGATGGACTACATGGCCATTGAGATCCCTTACAATGCTCACATTCTGTGACTTTGTGATCTCAGCTGTTTCACAGACACCATCTAGAGGGAAACCTCACGTAGTTACATTCAACAAATCTGATGGTAGGTACCGGTTATCAGCCTTTACTGCTGCTTAGAAGCAAGGTCTGCTTATGTCAAAAATATTTCTATAGGTTTTTAAAAAATATATTTATCATGTGTTCTGAGAATGTCTATTAATTTTCTTTGCTCATCTAAGCAATGATTCCTTTTATAGCTGCCTTAGGCGGAAGGGCCCAGGTTACATTAATATTGTACAGGAGGCAGCACTTAATATCAATACAATTAATATTATATTAGAGGCAGCCAGGTGGCACTGTGGATAGACCTCTAGGCCTTGAATGATGAAGATATGAGTTCAAATCCAGCCTGAGACACATACTATCTGTGTGAGCTTGGGCAAGTCATTTAACTTCTGTTTGCCTCAGTTTCCTCAACTATAAAATAGGGATCATAGTAGTCCCTACTTCCTAGGATTGTTATGAGTATTAAATGAGATAATATTTCTAAAGAGCTTAGCCTCATGCCTGGCACATAGTAAGTATTATATAAATGCCAGTTATTATCATTAGCATTATTATTCCAGGTTTTTGTTAGAATCCTTTCCAAATCTGTTACGGCACATTTTATTGCTGCAACCATGTCCATATCAGATAAATGGGTAGTTCAACACCTTTCTGTTAATAGAGTTAGTGATAACTAAATGTATTATAAAACAGCAAATATTTATACACAAACAAAATTTATACCTAAGCAAAATTCAAAGGAATAATTATACCTTTGGACTCAGTGATACTGAGTCTATATCCCAAAGAGATCAAAGAAAGAGGAATAAAACCTATATGTACAAGCATATTTATAGTAGTTCTTTTTGTGGCGGCAAAAAATTGGACGCTGAGGTGGTGCCCATCTTTTGGGGGAAGACTGAAAAGTTATTTTACATTATATGTATGTATATATATGTGTGTATGTATGTGTGTGTGTATATATGTATACACACACACACATATACAATTGTGCTAAGAAATGGTGAAGGGGATGGTTTAGGAGAAACCTGGGAAGACTTCTGTGAATAGATGCAGAGTGAAGTGAACAGAACCAGGAGAAATAATTTATACAATAAAAACAGTATTGTAAAGACACACAACTTCGAAAGACTTAGGAACTTGGATCATCATAATTACCAACCATGATTTCAGAGGACTCATGATAAAACATACTACCCATCCCCTGAAAGAGAGGTGATGGACTCATCACAGACAGATTGAGACTTGTTTTTGGACATAGCCAATGAGTGAATTTGTTTTGCTTGCCTAAGCTTGTTTGCTTGACTAAGTTTGATTTTTCTTGCTTTTTCAATGGTAGTGAGGTGGAAGGGAGTTAAGGCAGATTTTTAATGATAAAAAAATGAAAATTTAAAAAGGAATTTAAAGGAATAAGAAAAACTGGTGAAATAGATGGAAGCCAAGGAAAAACAAATAATCACAAGATTGAAGAACTTAGCTTTAATTATATTGAGAAATTTCTTGTCACCAATCAAGATATAAAAGATTCTGTTTTCCCTTGAAACTTAATACTGTTAAGGAAACTGAGAGTTAGGATGGGGGAAGAATAGATTCTAAAAAACTCAAAAATGTGAATTTTTAAAAAAATATAATAGTCACAAGTGGGATTTCTGTCATTTTCTAAATAGTTTTTGGGAATCCCACAAGAGAGAGAAACCTCACCACTTATCTTAATTCATTTTGGTTAGAATTTATATTTAAACAATTAATTATAGCAGATTACTATTTATTGGAAGAACTATTGGGCAGTAGTGTTACATAAAAGATAGTGGCAAAATATACATCTAGTTAAAAATAATGAACATTTTGAATTCTACAAGATGACTGTAAAACAATCTGCCATCTTCTCCCAAGAGGTATGGGAGAAGGGTAAGGCAGAGGTAAGATGGTGGCCATTTCATGGCATTTGTAAGGTCTTTTCTCACTTTCCAGTTTGGTATTATCAAAGGGTCAGAAGCAAGAAAAATTAGTAGCAACATACAGTCAATGGGTATAGTTCTTTTTGATCTAAAATCAACATCTGGCTCAGCTCAGGCAATTTATTACCTGAAAAGCTTACCATCTGGATTAGTATATAGTTTCCATATTCTCTGTTTTATCAGGAAAGGATTAGTAAAATTAGCCAGGTCAATATCTACAATTTTTAATTACTCACCTCTAAAAGCTTCTTTTAGTTCAACTTAGCATTCAGCACCTACTATACGCCATTCTGCACAGGCATGGTCTGATATTTGGACCTTTAAGGTTTCTCTTAGATTTCAAGAAAGTTACCTTGCCAGCATGCGCCAACAGTGAGTTGCATGGCTATGTGTGATGGGTGAATGGGCCAATCATTTGTCACGAGGTAAGGCTCATATGTTGTGCCGTCCATGTATAAGGTGACCACAGGAAACTCCACGTTGACAACGTAGTAATGCCATTCCTTGTCACAAATCTAAGCAATAACAAGAAAGAGACAACTTTTAAAAACTGTATGCTCCCCATAATGATCAAATAGTTTCTTATTTCAATTATGAAGGAAGACAGTTACACTGGATCTAGGAGCTAAGGAAAACCATAAATCCTTATAGAAATGACTTTTTTTTGTGTAGCTCTTTCATGTAGAACAGCAGTGTCAAACTCAAATAGAAGCATATTGACCTAGAAAACTACATATTAGCATTATCTATGTTTATTGTATTTTTATTTATTTTGTTAAACATTTCCCAATTACATTTTAATCTACTAGTTCTCAGCCTGAGTGTTTGATACCTCTGAAGAACTCAGAGACCTCCACAATGTTCTGTATCTGAACACTTCAGCTATTATTCTAGGTGCCAACTCAGCAAGCCATCTATCTCCTGAATTACAACATCTTCCAGGAAGATTTTCCTAAGTAATTTGTGGAGCAAATGATCCTTTTTTTTTCCTCAGCATGCAACATTTCCAATGTTCTCTTCAGTCACTGTGAAATATCTTTACCTCTTGGCTTGTATAGACCCTGAACAGAGATACGTATTACACCATAATATAGTTCCTTGCACTTTATATGTGCTCAGCAAACATTTTTTAATTTGTTGGAAGAATGAGTGATGCAAACATTGATTCATTTGTTGACTATTTCTGTCGATATAATTATTGGTTGTCTTGAATGGCAGGAGTTAGTTTAGATTCAATTTAGATAACACCTAGCAGAGTGCCATGTTGGAAAAAAAAATCTGTTCTGTAAATGATTTTTATTACAGAGGAGATGGATAAGAATGAAAGAGGGAAAAGGAAACAGATAGAAGAAAGGAGAATGAATAATAGAAGAGAAGAAGTAGGAGAAGAAAGAGAAGAGGAGGCAAGGACATTGAATTGACTAGATTTGGAATTGGAAGATTAGACTCTAAATCCTGGCTTGGCCACTTATTAGTTGCATAATTTGGACATGTCATTTAGCCTCCTGAAGTCTGGGTTTCCTTAAATAAGACAAATACCCACTTTATCTATATTAAAGGTAGGTAGGTAGTGCAGGGGTTAGGGGGCCTGGAGTCAGGAAGAGTTGAGCACAAATCCAGTCTCAGATCCACACTAGCTGTGTGACCCTGGGCAAAGCACTTAACCTGTTTGCTTCAGTTCCCTCAGCTACAAAATAGGGAGGATCGTAGTACCTATCAAGAGGATAAAATGAGATAATATTCATACACTGCTTAGCACAGTGTTTGGCAACTGATAGGCACTGAATAAATATTGGTTTCTTTCCTTTTATTTACCTCATAGCATTGCTGTGAATATCAATACGGAAAGAACTTAACCCTTTTATACCATCCAGTGATTGCTCCATCTTGCTCTATGACTCCCTCCCCAAGACCCTTTATTTTGCCCTCAGTGTAGCCTTTGGTACTGCTAGGTGATGCAGAGGATAGAGCCCTGGACCTATAATCAGAAATGAGCTGGAGAAACACTTAGGACCTTTGCCAGGAAAACCCCATATAAGGTAACAAAGGGTCAGACAAGACTGAAACAGCTGAATATCATCGTCATTATTATTATTAACCATACCATCATTGTGAATACTGGTGCCTCCTTTGGCTTCGGAAATGTCACCACTTTCCCATTTCCTTTCTTTGTCTCTGATCTTCTGTCTCCTTCACAGATTCATATCCCCATTCCCAACACTTTAAGGTTGGTATTCCCCAACATTCTGCACTCAGTCCTCTTGTCTCCCTCCATTCTCTCCCTTGGTGATCTCATCCATTTATGTTAGCTGAACTACCCTTTCATAGTCTACCTCACAAACATTATCTCACATTACCTCCATGCAGGTTACACTCTAGCCAAACTGGACAACTTGCTTTTTTTCCTTGTATAGCTCTGCAGTCTCAGTCCTTCTTGCCTTAGCGTGAGTTTTCCCTTGTGCCTGCAACCTCACTCCTCTCCTTTTCCCTTTACCTCTTGGAACTCTATCTGTCCTCAAAGCCTTGCATATAGCAGGGTGTTAAAAGGTATTTTTAAATTATATTGAAACCTTCTTCCCTTCCCACCCGCATTTCATAATAATCCTTCTCCCCCTAGCATCAAATAGCACTTCATTCCTACCCTTTTAACCCCATATAATATATATGTATATGTATATACATATATATGTATATATATAACATATGTATATATACATATCTACACACATATATCTACACATGTGTATATACATATAAGTATTATTTTGTATTATAGCATTTGTTCATGTGAGGAAATGTGTATAAACAAGAAATATTTTGATTTTCTATTTGTTTTCAGCACTTAACACAGTGCTGCACACATACAAGGCTTTCAATAAGTGCTTTGTCATTCATTCGTTCATTCATTCATTCATGTGTCATATCCTCTTTGCTGGACTGTAAGTTTCCTAAGAGCAAAGGCCCATTTTTATTTAAACTTTGCATCTCCCAAAAAGCTAGCATGGTGCTCTGAATGTAGCAGGGGCTTAATAAATGTTTATTTAAACAAAAAATGATAGGATTCTACTGGACCTTTTGTGTTCCCCATCACTATGAATATTTTCTGAAGGTGTAAAGAAATCAGAATCATTAAAGAAAGTAAATTAATTGGAACCTAGATAAACAAACTTCAAAAATGAATGGGTTTATCTCAGCCCCCTTCTGAAGAAGGTATTTTTTTGACTTATTGGGAGCTTAACTTTGATAAATCACTGCTGGTCATAACCCACAAGGTTGTATATTTGCTTTCAAAGTAGAATAAAAAAATATTCAAAAGAAAATAACAGTTATGGGATACAGGCCTGGAGGAAAGTACTCATATTTGTTGAGGAATCTAGGGTGAAAGGTGAGTTTGTTTTAATTTGATTTATATAAATACATATTAATAGTCATTTTTACAAAAAAAAAATCCTTGTTTTTGAGACTTAAGTCCTTGATGAGACATGTTGATATATATAGTCTCTGAAATGCCTTGGGATGCTCTGGGCAACTTGTTAAGAAGTTGTTACTAATGAGAGCATGGAAATACCGTGGCATAGTTAGTAAAAACACAATTTTCAGCAGAATATGTATCTATTAGGCCAATTCCTTTGATATATTTGGTGGATAGTTTGGTTTTCATGTTAAAAGGCATGTGTTTATTATATATGTGTGTGTGTGTGTAATATATATGTATGTGTACAATATATGCATATATTGTATATAATATATATTATATATAATATATAATATGTGTATAATATGTGTATATATTGTAGATAATGTATATTATCTATAATATATAACATACTTATATGCAACATATAGGTATATATAATATATATGCATGTGCGTATATCTATATATCCATATCTCACCACACATTCTATTGAAATGATCATAGAGTAATCCAAATCCATCAGCTTGTCTTCAATTACTCCTTGTTTAATCAGGGGCAGATTTCAGAGAAGTTCAGAGTTGGAGAGAACTTTGGAGGCTATCTAATCAATCTGTAACTGAATTATAATATCTGTAACAAATAGTCATCCAAACTTCACTTGAAAACCTCTAATAAGGGGAGATCCTGAATCTCTCTGTTCCTCCGTTTCTTCTGGTATGAAATGAAGAGTTTCGATTAGATGAACCGTGAGGTTCTTTGCATGAAGTCCTACTGTATGATCTGCTAGCTTGATCTGCGGCAATGGAAAAATAATTTTACCTCTTTGGCCATTAGTTTCCCTTCTATGTAAAATAAAAGGTTAGACTAGATAATCTCAATTCTCTTCCACCTTGGCCATTCTATGCTCTAAATAAACTAAAACAAACAAACAAACAAAAAACCTGAATGGATCATTTCAAGGTGTAGGTACAGTAGTTTCTGGGGTCTATTTTATAGGATGGAGAGGCAGTGCCAGCAGCAGCAGAAAAGAAAAAATGTTTTGGGTGGTCAGATTAGCAAAGATGACAAAACCTGAAAATTACCAATGTTGGGAAGGGGCTTTTGGAAAATAAGATCACTAAGGGACTATTAGGGGATCTGTGAAGCGGTATAGCCATCCTGGAAATCATTTTGGAACTATGCCCCTAAAGTCACTAAACTGTGGGTACTGTTTCACCCAGCAATTCAGCAAGTAGGTCTGCAGGCCAAAGAGATCAAAGAAAGTGAAAAAAGATCCATTTGTATAAAGATATTTATAGCAGCTCTTTTTTTTTGTAGTGATAAAAATCACAAACTAAAGAAGGGGCTTGTAATCAGTTGGGGAATGGCTGAACAAATCATGGCACATGAATTTAATATAATATTATTTTGCCATAAGAAATGGCAACAGAAATGATTTCAAAAAATCTAGGAAGACTTGTATGAACTGATGCAGAATGAAGTGAGGAGAACCAGGAGAATAATTTATACAATAGCAATAATGCAAAGACAAACTATTCTGAAAGACTTAAGAATGCTAATCAATACAATGACCAACCACAGTTCCAAAGGATGGGTGATAAAGCAGGCTCCCCTCCTCCTGACAGAGAGGTGATGAACTCAAGATGAAGAGTCAGACCTATTTTTATGAATGTGTCCAATATGGAAATTTATTCTGCTTGACTATGCATCTTTGTTACATGGGTTTTATATTTCCCTTTTTCTTTTCTAGTTAGGTGGGGGATATGGGAGGGAAGTAAATAAATGTTGTTAATCAAAAAGTGAATTAAAATTTAAAAAATGAAATGGCCAGGGAGAAGATGACAACTTATGGTCCTAAGGAGTGCAGAGCTGAGGGACATAGCTTCTCCTAGGCATGGTCTCTGGTTGTTTGTTTTAATTGGAGGGTGGCATCCTCATCATAATCGGATCTTTTGAATCTGCTAGAAATACTGGGGATATTGAAAATAAACATTAGAAATTCTTTCACTGTGGAAAGTTTAGTGGGGAAAGTTTGCAATTGGGAGACCTGGGTTCTAGTTTTAGCATTGCCTCTGACTGGTTTTTATTAAAAGTCAC